CGGCGTCATTGAGTTTTCGACTTTCGAAAGCGATGGGGTGGCCTTCTTGAATAAGGACCCCACCTAGGGCAAAGTCGGAAGCGTCTGTTTCTATTTCAAATGGCTTTGTAACATCTACCAATCCGAGGAAAGGACCCCTCGTCATGGTTGTTTTCAGATCTTCAAAGGCCATTTGACAATCATCTGACCACGACCAAGTGTGGTCTTTCTTCAACAGCTCTGTCAATGGGGCGGCTCGTCGTGAAAACCCTTCGACGAACCGCCTATAGTAGTTGGCTAATCCTAAGAAGGACCGCAAATCGGATACGGAAGTAGGAACCTTCCATTCTTAGATAGCTTTTATCTTATCGCTATCCATACTAATCTGTCCACATCTGACGACATGTCCAAGGAAGTTGATGCATGTTTGTGCGAATGCACATTTCTCTTTCTTGACATACAGTTGGTTTTGTCGCAGCTTGTCGAACACCAGCTTCAAGTGCACTTTGTGTTCCTCCAGGGTTGTGCTGTAAACCACTATGTCGTCGAGGTATACTATGACAAACTGATCCAAGTATTCGTAGAAAACTTGGTTCATCAACGTGCAGAAAGTAGCTGGAGCGTTTGTCAAGCCAAAGGGCATTACTAGGAATTCGAAGGCCCCATATCTTGTTACGCACGTCGTCTTGGGCTCGTCCCCTTCGGCAATACGTACTTGGTAATACCCTGATCGTAAGTCCAACTTCGTGAAGTACTTGGCCCCGTGAAGTTGGTCGAACAAGTCGGATATTATCGGCAGTAGATATTTGTTGCGTACCGTCACCTTGTTTAAGGCTCTATAGTCTATACACAGACGCAACGTCCCATCCTTCTTCTTCTGGAACAGTACGGGGGCTCCATAGGGTGCCTTTGCCGGGCGGATAAATCCCACCTTCAGCAACTCATCCAGTTGTTTCCTTAATTCGGCTAGCTCGGGCGGAGCCATCCGGTATGCGTTCTTCGCTGGCGGTTTAACTCCGGGGATGAGTTCGATTTCGTGATCAATGCCTCGACGAGGTGGTAATGTTTGGGGTAAGCTCTCTGGCATTATGTCAGCATAGTCGTTTAGTACCTCCTTGATTTCATTTGGGACAGTTTCTTTGGTGGTTGTTACTTCCATCAATGGTATGGCCATAAATGTAGGTTCCTCTCGTGCGAGTCCTTTTTTCAATTGTATGGCCGAGATCATTCGAAGATTACCTGGTTGCTTGATGCTTGCAGGTATTACTGTGGGGTTGCGGTCAGTGATCACTTAGCACTTTGCCAGCGGCATTGGGATAACTTTGTGTTCTAGGAGGAACTCCATCCCAAGTACCACGTCAAAGTCGTCCATGCGAGCCACGACAAGATCTAGCTCTCCTGTCCAATCCCCTATTTTAAAGGGGACTCTTTTGGAAACTCCCACAATAGGCAAGGCCTCAGAGTTGACAGCTTTCATTTTTCCCGGGTCCCTTCCTATAGTGAGTCCTAATCTTCGGGCTTCTTGATCAGCGATAAAGTTGTGGGTCGCTCCTGAATCTATCAGAGTGCTCCTATTCGGTTGGAAATTTATTGTCGCATCTACAAACATGAGTCCTTTCTCTACTATCTCCTTCGGTTCGACCTTCCGTTGGAGAGCTGACAAGAATTTAAGTGCGCCCATTCGGGGGTTGTCTTGATCTTCCTTCTTGTCAAGCATAGTCTCAACCTTTGCGTCATTGCTCTCTTGAATGGACACTTGGAGCGCAGTGAGAGAGGCCCGATGAGGACAGTAAGATACCTTGTGGGGACCTTTACAGAGCATGCATTGTAACGGCGTCGTCGGGTGGTTCCTTTGATGGTAAGGTCCTCGAGATGTCCCTGCTTGGTTATTCTGTGGAGGTCTATCCGTCCATCCGCTTGGTCTGTCGTTACCTCCGTTCGGCCTGTTGGGGCTTCCATTTCGATGACTTGGTGGTTTGTATGGCTTGCCACCAGTGTTTGGGGCTGGTGTTATTCTCCTTTGGGATCCCGCTTCGTTCCCATAGTCTAGGAGTCTCTCGGCACAGGCCATTGCGGCGGCTAGGGTTTGGACCTTGTTCTCGTGTAGCTTTGTTTTGGCCCACGGTTGCAACCCATTTATAAAGAAGAACACCTTGTCCTTCTCTGATGTGCCCCTGATATCGAGCATGAGGGTTGAGAACTGTCTGACATAGTCTCGTATGCTTCCAGTGTGTTTCAGGGCTACTAGCTTTTCCATTGCTAAATGTCCTGCGTTTTCGGGGAGGAACTGGTCCCTCAACTCTTTCTTAAGGTCCTCCCACGAGTCAATGGTGCACAATCCATCCTCGATGTCTTGCACCTTCGTACGCCACCACAGTTTGGCGTCGTCTGTGAGATACATCGAAGCTACGGTCACCTTCTTGTCGTCAGTACAAGCCGTTGTGGCTTTGAAGTACTGTTCGACATCAAAGATGAAGTTTTCTAACTCTTTGGCGTCCCGATTCCCTTTAAAGGCTCTAGGTTCTGGGAATCTTAGTTTGTTGGACCCTGTATTTGTTTGTCCAGCCGTGACGTTCTCCACGGCTTTCATGGTCACTTCAATTCGAGTGCCCATGGAGGCCATCCTTTCTTGGATGTCATCGATGGTTGTTCTGAACTCATCAGCTAGTCCATTGAACAAGCTCATCATTGTATTTTGTAGCACGTCGAACTCTTCGCCACGTCCCTCCTTGTGCGCGACAGAGCTATCCGGACTACCAGATGGTTTTGGGCTGCTCGTAGGAGCAACTCTTTCTTCGAGCGAGGTCACTCGAAACATCAATTCTGCGATTGGCAACCCATCCAGGCGGTTGCCCATTGCGTCGATTCCTACGACTTTCTCGCTCAATTCGGTCACCCGTGCTTCCAGGAAGCGGAGGGTGTCAGGGACTTCTTTGAGGAACAGCATTTCCTCCTCTATTAGCGTAAGCCGGTCGGCTTGTGCTTTGGGTGTCGACTTTGTCGTCGACATGGTTTCGGTCTTTACTGTGTCACGGAGCTAACAAAGCTCTGATACCACTTGACACAATCGCACTCTTAAAGGCAGCGGAATAGCGATTGTGCGACACTCACTTTCCAACGACAAGTGAGCTGAGCCAATTTGTACTTGCGTCGCCTACGGCCAAGCGACGTATGATCGAGCCTCTAGCCTCGGTTTTAAAAGAAGGTTTTGGAAAACGAGGGTAGAGAGAGATTTTAGAAAGAGAGATTTTTGAAAGAGACGTTATATAAGCAAGCAAGAGAGAGATAACAACGGCTTAGCATATATAACCTTGGGTAGGGAGAAGTTGACAACTAGTCATATCCCCCTATAGTACATTTTGAGACATTTCATGTCTGGCAGGCCTAGACATGATATTTTTGAGGCGTCATACGCCCTAGAACTATAGAAGTAAAAACACTAGAATGAAAAGACATGACAAGGGTTTGGCTTGCCATAGGCATGCGGCCATGGGCAACACGCCCTGGACGAGCATGACCGTGACACCCGTCTAGCTCAGTTGGTAGAGTGCAAGGCTCTTAACCTTGTGGTTATGGGATCGAACCCCATGGTGGGTGATTTGTTATATATGTTTTTGATTTTTCTAATTAGGCCACTCTCGGGTCACTCGACAAGATGTCAAAGGGTTGTACCTATTGTGTATGCCCGTCTAGCTTAGTTGGTAGAGTGCAAGGCTCTTAACCTTGTGGTCATGGGTTCAAATTGTTTTTAATTGTGTATGCCCGTCTAGCTCAGTTGGTAGAGCGCAAGGCTCTTAACCTTGTGGTCATGGGTTCGAACCCCATGGTGGGCGATTTGGTGTAGTCCTAGATGTATAGCTCCTTTGGTAAAGCGCAAAGGGTTGTTTTGTGTTACCAATTGTGTATGCCCGTCTATCTCAGTTGGTAGAGTGCAAGGCTCTTAACCATGTGGTCATGGGGCGGTGGGCGATTTGCTATAATTGTTTTTAATTTTTAATTAGGTCATTCTTGGGTCACTCGACAAGATGTCAAAGGGTTGTACATATTGTGTATGCCCGTCTAGCTCAGTTGGTAGAGCGCAAGGCTCTTAACCTTGTGGTCATAGGTTTGAGCCCCAGGCGTCTAGCTCAGTTGGTAAAGTGCAAAGGGTTGTGCCTATTGTGTATGCCTGTCTAGCTTAGTTGGTAGAGTGCAAGACTCTTAACCTTGTGGTTATGGGATCGATCCCCATGGTGGGTGATTTGTTATAATTGTTTTTAATTTTTCTAATTAGGCCACTCTTGGGTCACTCGACAAGATGTCGAAGGGTTGTACCTATTGTGTATGCCCATCTAGCTTAGTTGGTAGAGTGCAAGGCTCTTAACCTTGTGGTCATGGGTTCAAATTGTTTTTGATTGTGTATGCCCGTTGTCACGATCATGCTCGTCCAGGGCGTGTTGCCCATGGCCGCATGCCTATGGCAAGCCAAACCCTTGTCATGTCTTTTCATTCTAGTGTTTTACTTTTGTAGTTCTAGGGCGTATGACGCCTCAAAAATGGCCTAACTTTTGTAGTTCTAGGGCGTATGACGCCTCAAAAATGGCCTAGACATGAAATGCCTCAAAATGTACTATAGGGGGATATGAAAAATATCATGCCTCAAAATGTACTATAGGGGGATATGAAAAATATCATGTCTAGGCCTGCCAGACATGATAGTTGTCAACTTCTCCCTACCCAAGGTTATATATGCTAAGTCGTTGTTATCTCTCTCTTGCTTGCTTATATAACGTCTCTTTCAACAATCTCTCTTTCTAAAATCTCTCTCTACCCTCGTTTTCCAAAACCTTCTTTTAAAACCGAGGCTAGAGGCTCGATCATACGTCGCTTGGCCGTAGGCGACGCAAGTACAAATTGGCTTAGCTCACTTGTCGTTGGAAAGTGAGTGCCGCACAATCGCTAGTCCGCTGCCTTTAAAAGTGCGATTGTGTCAAGTGGTATCAGAGCTTTGTTAGCTCCGTGACACAGTAAAGACCAAAACCATGTCGACGACAAAGTCGACACCCAAAGCACAAGCCGACCGGCTTACGCTAATAGAGGAGGAAATGCTGTTACTCAAAGAAGTCCCTGACACCCTCCGCTTCCTGGAAGCACGGGTGACCGAATTGAGTGAGAAAGTCGTAGGAATCGACGCAATGGGCAACCGCCTGGATGGGTTGCCAATCGCAGAATTGATGTTTCGAGTGACCTCGCTCGAAGAAAGAGTTGCTCCTACGAGCAGCCCAAAACCGTCTGGTAGTCCGGATAGCTCTGTCGCGCACAAGGAGGGACGTGGCGAAGAGTTCGACGTGCTACAAAATACAATGATGAGCTTGTTCAATGGATTAGCTGATGAGTTCAGAACAACAATCGACGACATCCAAGAAAGGATGGCCTCCATGGGCACTCGAATTGAAGTGACCATGAAAGCCGTGGAGAACGTCACGGCTGGGCAAGCTAATACAGGGTCCAACAAACTAAGATTCCCAGATCCTAGAGCCTTTAAAGAGAATCGGGACGCCAAAGAGTTGGAAAACTTCATCTTTGATGTCGAACAGTACTTCAAAGCCACAACGGCTTGTACTGACGACAAGAAGGTGACCGTAGCCTCGATGTATCTCATAGACGACGCCAAACTGTGGTGGCGTACGAAGGTGCAAGACATCGAGGATGGTTTGTACACCATTGACTCGTGGGAGGACCTTAAGAAAGAGTTGAGGGACAAGTTTCTCCCCGAAAACGCAGGACATTTAGCAATGGAAAAACTAGTAGCCCTGAAACACACTGGAGGCATACGAGACTATGTCAGACAGTTCTCAACCCTGATGCTAGATATCATGGGCACATTAGAGAAGGACAAGATGTTCTTCTTTATAAATGGGTTACAGCCGTGGGCCAAAACAAAACTACACGAGAACAAGGTTCAAACCCTAGCTGCCGCAATGGCCTGTGCCGAGAGACTCCTAGACTATGGGAATGAAGCGGGATCCCAAAGAAGAATAACACCAGCCCCAAACACTGGGGGCAAGCCATACAAACCACCAAGTCATCGAAATGGAAGCCCCAACAGGCCGAACGGAGGTAACGACAGACCAAGCGGATGGACGGATAGACCTCCTCAGAACAACCAAGCGGGGACATCTCGAGGACCTTACCATCAAAGGAACCACCCGACGACGCCTTTACAATGCATGCTGTGTAAAGGTCCCCACAAGGTATCTTACTGTCCTCATCGGGCCTCTCTCACTGCGCTCCAAGTGTCCATTCAAGAGAGCAATGACACAAGGATTGAGACTATGCTTGACAAGAAGGAAGATCAAGACAATCCCCGAATGGGCGCACTTAAATTCTTGTCAGCCCTCCAACGGAAGGTCGAACCGAAGGAGATAGTAGAGAAAGGACTCATGTTCGTAGATGCGACAATAAATTCCCAACCGAATAGGAGCACTCTGATAGATTCAGGAGCGACCCACAACTTCATCGCCGATCACGAAGCCCGAAGATTAGGACTCACTATAGGAAAGGACCCGGGAAAAATGAAAGCTGTCAACTCTGAGGCCTTGCCTATTGTGGGAGTTTCCAAAAGAGTCCCCTTTAAAATAGGGGATTGGACAGGAGAGCTAGATCTTGTCGTAGCTCGCATGGACGACTTTGACGTGGTACTTGGGATGGAGTTCCTCCTAGAACACAAAGTTATCCCAATGCCGTTGGCAAAATGCTTAGTGATCACCGACAGCAACCCCACGGTAATACCTGCAAGCATCAAGCAACCAGGTAATCTTCGAATGATCTCGGCCATACAATTGAAAAGGGGACTCGCGCGAGAGGAACCTACATTTATGGTCATACCATTGATGGAAGTAACAACCAACGAAGAAACTGTCCCAAATGAAATCAATGAGGTACTAAACGACTATGCTGACATAATGCCAGAGAGCTTACCCCAAACATTACCACCTCGTCAAGGCATTGATCACGAAATCGAACTCATCCCCGGAGTTAAACCGCCAGCGAAGAACGCATACCAGATGGCTCCACCCGAGCTAGCCGAATTAAGGAAACAACTGGATGAGTTGCTGAAGGCGGGATTCATCCGCCCGGAAAAGGCACCCTACGGAGCCCTCGTACTGTTCCAGAAGAAGAAGGATGGGACGTTGCGTCTGTGCATAGACTATAGAGCCTTAAACAAGGTGACGGTGCGCAACAAATATCCACTGCCGATAATATCCGACTTGTTCGACCAACTTCACGGGGCCAAGTACTTCACGAAGTTGGACTTACGATCAGGGTATTACCAAGTACGTATTGCCGAAGGGGATGAGCCCAAGACGACGTGCGTAACAAGATATGGGGCCTTCGAATTCCTAGTAATGCCCTTTGGCTTGACAAACGCTCCAGCTACTTTCTGCACGTTGATGAACCAAGTTTTCTACGAATACTTGGATCAGTTTGTCATAGTATACCTCGACGACATAGTGGTTTACAGCACAACCCTAGAAGAACACAAAGTGCACTTGAAGCTGGTGTTCGACAAGCTACAACAAAACCAACTATATGTCAAGAAAGAGAAATGTGCATTCGCACAAACATGCATCAACTTCCTTGGACATGTCGTCAAATGTGGACAGATTAGTATGGATAGCGATAAGATAAAAGCTATCCAAGAATGGAAAGTTCCTACTTCTGTATCCGATTTGCGGTCCTTCTTAAGATTAGCCAACTACTATAGGCGGTTCGTCGAAGGGTTTTCACGACGAGCTGCCCCATTGACAGAGCTGAAATAGAAACAGACGCTTCCGACTTTGCCCTAGGTGGGGTCCTTATTCAAGAAGGCCACCCCATCGCTTTCGAAAGTCGACGCACTGAGTCGGAAGGGCGAACATGCGGCCCTGTGCATGTTAGCCCATATTCACTCAAGTAAGATCGATGGATCGATGCGCGACATCATCAAGGAACATTTACATCAAGACCCATCGGCCAAAGCCGTCGTCGAACTAGCTAAAGCTGGGAAAACACGACAGTTTTGAGTTGAGGGAGACCTTCTGATGACAAAAGGAAACAGATTGTATGTCCCAAGAACGGAAGAACTGAGGAAGAAGCTCATTCAGGAATGTCATGATACCTTATGGGCCGGACACCCTGGGTGGCAAAGAACATACGCTCTAATAAAGAAAGGGTACTTCTGGCCAAACATGCGAGATGACATCATGCAATACACCAAGACGTGCCTCATCTGTCAACAGGACAAAGTCGAGAAAGCCAAAGTCTCAAGACTCTTGGAACCTCTACCTGTGCCGACAAGACCCTGGGAAAGTGTATCTTTGGACTTCATAACACACCTCCCAAAAGTCGGGGACTATGACGCTATCTTGGTTATCGTAGACCGATTCTCAAAATATGCGACGTTCATCCCCACTCCCAAATTATGCTCGGCCGAACTCACAGCTCAACTATTTTTCAAACACATTGTAAAGTTATGGGGTATTCCGTCGAGCATCATCAGTGATCGGGATGGCAGATTCATTGGAACATTCTGAACCGAGTTATTCGCCTTCTTGGGAACAACCTTAAACATCTCCTCGAGTTACCACCCTCAAACCGATGGTCAGACAGAACGGTTCAATTGCTTGCTCGAAGAATACTTACGTCACTTCGTCGATGCTCGCCAGAAGAACTGGATACAACTG